ATCATCAGGGCGATGAAGATTTCTGTCTTCTGGGTTGTTGCGCCGTGTAGTCTGGTCGATGGTTACCAACGTTTCAGAAGTCATACTGCCTCATCGACCAGACTACACAGCGCAACAACCCAGAAGACAGAAATCTTCATACCGCTGTGAAAACCTCAAATCTTACAAGCTTAATTATCACAAATATTCGCTCTGTCCCGACTTGAATGTTAAGAGTTTCGTTCATGATGCGTGTTGTCATCATTAATGGAAGGGCCATAAGATTAAACCGTGTACTAGGACGCCTGTCCTCAGCGTCACCAACAGTAACACATTGCAACTTTCGTAAATACTTTTTTTTTAACTTCTGTAATTCAGATGTGACGTAACACACTCAGATGCACTGAACAGAGGCGAAGGAACATCGCGCATTTGTTTCGGGTTCGGCAGTTTGTCTTTCGAAATTACTGTTGCTTCTCAGGAGCTCTAATAGAATAACTTCGTCGCAACACTTTTGTGCACACCTGAGGAATATAAATTAGGGAAAGTTGCCAACAGTCGACACTGGCCTATAGAATTGTGAGTTTTGTCCTTCTTCTTGTTTTTGAGGGAGTTTCGTCCCAAGTACCGCTCTCTCTCTGCTCGTATTTTATCGAATTCTAAATATTGACATTGACGAACTACGTGGAGGAGCGTCGTTGTTCAGAATCTGATAGTCGTTCATCGAATCAGGACATTTCCTGCCTTTCATGGACCCAAAGTTTCAGTACCGCATTTACAAAAGCCTTCTATAGGACACTGCTCTGAGCCATTTGAAACCAGTCGACCACTTATCCTGTTTACTTAAGGTGCATATTAATGTTATCCTCACACATACGCCTAGATCTTCTAAGTGATTTGTCCCTTAGGGTTTTCAAGTAAATTAATTTTATGCGTTCATCTTTTGTCTCAACCTTAATACGCGTTTGGCCCATCTCATACTCTTTAATTTGATCACATTAAATTTTAGTGATGATCGCAAATTATTAAAATCCTCATTATGCTGTTTTCACCAGCTAAGTTCCTTTCTTGCAGGTTCAGATATTATCATCAGCGCCCAGTTAACTAAAACATTCAGTCAATTAAAATGCATGTTGTAAATCTGTGTGCGATTTCAGATGATAAGATTTGGAGAAAATTAGGTTATTATAACATTTCTGATAATTTCACTATCAACATGGCGGCCTGGCGTCATAGCCCAGAAAAGCGTAATCCATCTTTTTCTGTTTCCCTTTTTCCTAAGCTCATTTCTTCACGACTTACTCCTCATTTTTCAGTAAATCTGCACTGAGATCCCAGAAGCACGTGCTGCTTACTGGTTACCAGCCAACGGCACAGTCGCTGGTAGGCCTGCTACTACATACACTATCGACTCATTGAGAAAATACTTTATTAATGAGAAATCCAATATTTCACTAGGCTATATCTTTCAGTAATATTTATAAAATAGAATAGAATTTATATATATTCCATAGATCCTTCATATGCCTAAGCTAAGGATATAGAACAAATACAATACTTGTTTCTAGTACAAACATAAATTCATAGTTATGACAGCTATTGACAGATTTTTGGAACTGCAGTATTACAGCAAAGTAATTGTGATGAGAATCATCACCATTATTACTTACACTAACTAACTAACTAAGTAACTAGATGTCTTACCGAACCCGAAGGTTCATCACCGAATTAACCAAAGCCCTCCACCGGACCCTGTCCTGGGCCAACAAAATCCAGTCTCCTTTAACTCCTATCTCCCATAGATCCCGTCTGAGATTATCCTCCCATCTACGTCTAGGTCTCCCCAG